GATATACTGTATTCATGTATTCATTTTCATATTTAAAATCATAAAATTTTTAATACATCTGTCAAATAGAGTCTAATCAGTTAACAAATATAAAAGTAATTTTAACATATTGAAAAAAATAGTAATGAGTTAATAAATAAATTGAGACATTAAGTATAACTAAAATAACAATCATGAGAAAATATAAAAACCATAAAATTATTTTTAAAAAACGTGCGGACCGTGCAAGAGCAAGATATTTTTATTATTATATATTTAGTTTTAGAAAAACTAAAGAAATCATTCTTGCGAGATATTTTTGCGAGGAATTACTTTTTTCCTAATTGTATTTATAAAACATTTATGTAATAAATGTACACAATTACAATTTATTAATTTATTTAAAGTTATACAGTATATATAAAAATATAAAATAAAATATTATGCAGTAAAAAATAGATAGTTATATATATAGATTTTTGGGATAAATAATTATCTGGTTGAACTTATTGAAAAAAAATCTTGCTTTGCTTCAACAGATCAAAAACGTTATTTCTAATATAAGTTTTACAAATTTTGTTTTTAATTTTAAAAATTGACGAACTTTACGAAAAACGATATTTTCCTCTCGTATAACACAACTTTAGACTGTCCAGAAGCTTATCGTGAAGCTTAAAACCGAAACTAGAATAATACTGTAGTCAATTAATAATTAATTTAATTTAATACAAAGACATATATCCTTTCCCAAACCATCTGAAAATCAAAAAAAAAAAAAAATATGTTGCGAAAAATATTACCTTAGCCAGGATTCGATCGTTTTTTGATAAACAATCAGAGCAAATGTAACTGTTATGTTACATTTATAATGGTTTATCAAAAAGCAGTCATAACTCATTTAATTTAACTTATATATACGTTTGCCTTACAAGACGTTCTTCTTAATACTTACAGATGGTTGCGATCAAGAGACACGGTAGTGTCTCGCGCCAAGTACACGCGAAGCGAGACCGCACCGTGACTCTTTTACGCGACGCGACGGGTTGCGAGTATACGAGATGTTGAGATCTCGATAACGAGTGAACGGATCAAGTTCTAATTAGGCTTGATCGATAGCTTGGGGTCCAATTAGGGGGGGGTTTCTCTTATAATATTCCGCTACGTGCCCTACGAGCGGAGATATTGCGACGCAAAGTCCAAATGTCAAAAATTTTTTTTAAGATACTTTCTTCTACGTCAACCGCTCTCATTCATTATAACATACATGTAACAAACAGAGAACGTCACTTTCACTTTTTCGACACTGGCAGCTAGCAGCGTTAGTATCGCAGTGCAGTGCAGTGCAGTGCAGTGCAGACAAGTGTGTTCGTTTAGCGCGCTGTCAGAGTGTCAGTCAGTTCATCAGTTATAACCTATCTCGAGAGAGATACGGTAGTACGCGCGGAGCGAGACCGACCGTGACTCTTTACGCGACGCGACGATTAATTCAAGGTAATTGTTTTATGTAATTATCCTATAATTATCTTACTCTATATATTACTGTTATACTTGTACTATTTTATTTACTGTTTATACTACGTTTACGTGAGTGTTTATACATTTATACATACAAGTTAATAACCTATTATATTATTTTTTATATTGACAGCAGGGAGCTGATACTGAGATCAAGGAGCCTGTTCACACGAAGCGTTTCTGCCGCGCGATAACGTTTGCACGAGCCGCACGCTGTCGCGAGGTATAAGGTGCGACAACGCGCGCATACGCGCGTACGCGAAACGGCAGTAACACCGTAATCGTGCCGGCGATTTACTGAATTGAATTGCTTTGTGCTTATTCCGAGATTTCGTATCCCTACATCGTGTTACCACCGCTGCCGGAAAAGAAGGTTCTCTACGCTTGGCAGAAAGTGACGACTGACACGTTCGATCCCGACTTCGTTGATCGCAGAAGAGCTGGACTCGAGGTACGTTTCCGATTTGCAATTATAACAGGTATATATTGACGGCAGGGAGCTGATGCCGAGGAGATCAATCCCGTTTACGCGCGAAGGAATTATCGTAAGTTATTTTATTATCGGTTCAACTTATTTTTTATTCTTTTTTAAGACAATTACCCGAAGGTGTCCAATGGGACTTTGATGTCGAGAATTGGCTAAATCCGTACCAAGTGTCACACTATGCGATGGACATCTTTGAGTATCTGAAAGAACGAGAACGCCTATTCCCCATCGGCAATTACATGGATCGGCAAGTATGCCTCTCGCCATGGCGAGGGGCGAGGGAATGGATGAGAGCGCTACTGGTCGATTGGATGGTCGAGGTGCAGGAGTCGTTTGAGTTGAATCACGAGACCTTATATCTGGCTGTAAAACTGGTCGATCTATACCTAACAAAGATGACAGTCGGGAAAGAGACTCTACAACTGCTGGGCGCTGCGAGTCTTTTCATAGCGAGCAAGTTTGACGTAAGTTTTATATAATAATATCTCTGCTACACAAATTTTTGCCTGATAAAATTGTGCTCATGTCGAGCAGTAAACCCAATAACAAAAACTTATTTTATTCTTAACTTTAACTTTAGGAAAGAATACCACTAATGGTGGAAGATTTGTATATATGTGACGGCGCTTACACAAAAAGGGAGCTGATCAAAATGGAAATAAATATTTTAAAAATAGTCAATTTTGACCTAGGAATACCTCTCTCTTACAGATTTCTTTGGCATTATGCCAGGGTAAGATATTCACAAAGTTAACAATTTATATCGGGTATCCAAGTAATTATTCTGTCCCAGGATTTAAATGAATTTTACATTATTTCTTCTATGAAATAATAATTTTTCAAAATTCTCCAATAAAATATCCGTCTTATTCAAATGGAATTTATATAAACGTATACTAATTCATCACTACTATCTGAAAATAGTGTGCCAAGGTGTCTATGCCCACGTCAACTCTGGCTCGGTACATACTGGAACATTCTCTGATGGATTATACAATGATCAGGTTTAGCGATAGTAAAATGGCAGCGGCGGCGTTGTTACTCGCGTTGCTAATGAAGGACTTGGGAGGATGGAATCCAACATTAGAATACTATAGCGGTTATAAACTTAACGACATAAGAGATATTTGCAATCTTTTAAACCAGAGCTTGCATAGGAAACACGAAGAAGCATTAAAGACTGTCCACAGCAAGTACAGCCACAAGTAAGTATTTTATATATTGAACATGTTACACTTTATAT